CCTTCCTTCCTTCCTTCCTTCCTTCCTTCCTTCCTTCCTTCCTTCCTATTGTTCTAATACGTGTACTGAAGAACAGATAGTTTAACAAGAGTTGTATCTTAACTATGAATAATAATAAGAGATGGCAAACCTAATTCCCTACATGAACAATTAGAGTGAGCTGTGAGCCTTTCGGAACCAGTCCACAGAAGGGGTGGGCGCATTCCCACTTGCACGAGTGAGTGTGTGGGCACTCCATTTGCACAAGTGTAGGGCACAAATGCCTGCCACTTGTGCAAATGAACTGAGTGCCCGCGTGCTTGCCGCCACTGGCCTGGAACCATCCCCGCCCATTTGCAAAGTCAGAAAGTTTGGGGAACTCTGGTTTAGAAGGCAAACACTTTCAGAGTCATTGCTGAAATGTTTAAAACACAACCTTTATTCAAACTAGAAATAAAGAGGTTAAAGAGCCCTAAAAGAAAGAGAAGGAAATCATGTGATTGAAATACATCACCGGGAGTAAGATTTGCTTATATTTTCTGTACCAAGTTGGAAGGTCTAAACTCCCAATTACTTATACTAAGTACATTAATGCGAAAATTATGCTACCTAACTGGTTATGTGAAGCTTAATTAAATTGATTAAAAAAAATATCCACCATGATACTGTCTATATCTAGGCAGACCGATACTATTTTTCTAGGTTTCAGATAGTGATCTTTCTTATTCCTACTTTGAGAGTCGGGGGGTTAAATTTAGAGTCCTATGTGCAAAGAATGTGTGTATTATTGACAGTTGGTTGATCTTGTGAATAATAACCACAAGACAGTGTTAAGTCACTCAACTTTACATTTCTAGTTAAGATGGAAAAAATAAGCTTTTTCATTTATTGTTTGGCAGGAATATTGCTGTGATAGCACATTTAAATGTAGGAAGTATCTGTAGCTGATTGCTCTATGAACAAAGATTAATAAATTCCAGTCCTAGAAATGCTAGTTAACTTGTGAATAACAAAAAGACAGGACAGATAATGATATTTAGACTAACATATCCTCATATGAGCTTTCTACCTGGAGTATACTTCTGTTGGTTTTATATTTTCACTGTATCTTTTGGGTTAGATTAAAATGGGCAATAAAAAACATGAAGCTCTGTGATTAATATACACATCTTATAAATGTACACAGAATTTTTGAATATGAAACTTGATAAACTATATATTTCAAAGATTAATACTGTTTGGAAAGCAGCTATATACATCACCCCATAATTGTAACTTGTTGGTGCATGTTCTGATTCCTACCGTTGCTGTAGCCTTTTCTCAGTCACTACTCATATACATGTGAATTTGCTATCAGACTGAATCCATACCTATTTGTACATTGTTTGTCTCTGATAGTTCTCTGTTAGATTGGATTTTAGAAACATTGGCATTATAGCAGAGTTTAATGTGTATGCTTTTCAAATGAAATTGTTACATCTTGAGTTTTAAAAATTAGCTGAAGAATCTTGACAAGAAGTAAAACTGCAGTGTAAAGCTAAACTTACCGGTATATATGCACATGCTTGAAATGAGATTGCAACCAATAAATTTCTAATTTAGTTATTTTTAGTATATTAAAATGAAGCCAAAACATTCTAATGTTTTTCCTGTGCCCTGTATTTTCTCATTACTTGTCAAGGATTTGAAAAAATCTAGTGAAGATCAATATTGCTGTTAACTTCACAGTATTGCTACACTCTGAATTCTTTCAATTTAATAGTAAATACACTGCTCAAAAAAATAAAGGGAACACAAAAACAAGATATCCCAGATCTGAATGAATGAAATATTCTTATTAAATACTTTGTTCATTACATAGTTGAATGTGCTGACAACAAAATCACACAAAAATTATAAGTGGAAATCAAATTTAGCAACCCACGGAGGTCTGGATTTGGAGTTACACTCAAAATTAAAGTGGAAAAAAACACTACAGGGTGATCCAACTTTGATTAAAACAAGTCAAAATGAGGCTCAGTAGTATGTGTGGCCTCCAAGTGCCTGTATGACCTCCTTATAACACCTGGGCATGCTTCTGATGAGGTGGCAGATGGTCTCCTGAGAGATCCCCTCCCACACCTGGACTAAAGCATCCCCCAACTCCTGGACAGTCTGTGGTGCAACGTGGCGTTGGTGGATGGAGTGAGACATGATGTCCCAGATGTGTTCAATTGGATTCAGGTCTGGGGAATGGACGGGCCAGGCTATAACATCAATGTCTTCGTCTTGCAGGAACTGCTGACACACTCCAGCCATATGAGGTCTAGCATTGTCTTGCATTAGGAGGAACCCAGGGCCAACCGCACCAGCATATGATCTCACAAGGGGTCTGAGGATCTCATCTCGGTACCTAATGGCAGTCAGGCTACCTTTGGCGAGCACATGGAGGGCTGTGCGGCCCCCTAAAGAAATGCCACCCCACACCGTTACTGACCCACTGCCAAACTGGTCATGCTGGAGGATGTTGCAGGTAGCAGAATGTTCTCCACGGCGTCTCCAGACCTTGTCACATCTGTCACGTGCTCAGTGTGAACCTGCTTTCATCTGTGAAGAACACAGGGTGCCAGTGGGGAATTTGCCACTCTTGGTGTTCTCTGGCAAATGCCAAATATCCTGCATGGTGTTGGGCTGTAAGCACAACCCCCACCTGTGGACATCGGGCCCTCATACCACCCTCATGGAGTCTGTTTCTGACCGTTTGAGCAGCCACATGCACATTTGTGGCCCACTGGAGGTCATTTTGCAGGGCTCTGGCAGTGCTCCTCCTGTCCCTCCTTGCACAAAGGTGGAGGTAGCGGTCCTGATGCTGGGTTGTTGCCCTCCTATGGCCTCCTCCATGTCTCCTGATGTACTGGCCTGTCTCTTGGTAGCACCTCCATGCTCTGGACACTACGCTGACAGACACAGCAAACCTTCTTGCCACAGCTCGCATTGATGTGCCATTCTGGATGAGCTGCACTACCTGAGCCACTTGTGTGGGTTGTAGACTCCGTCTCATGCTACCACTAGAGTGAAAGCACCGCCATCATTCAAAAGTGACCAAACCATCAGCCAGAAAGCATAGGAACTGAGAAGTGGTCTGTGGTCACCACCTGCAGAACCACTCCTTTATTGGAGATGTCTTGCTAACTGCCTCTGCTTTCTACCTGTTGTCTATTCCATTTGTACAACAGCATGTGAAATTGATTGTCAATCAGTGTTGCTACCTAAGTGGACAGTTTGATTTCACAGAAGTGTGATTGACTTGGAGTTACATTGTGTTGTTTAAGTGTTCCCTTTATTTTTTTGAGCAGTGTATATACCTACATATACATATGCACATACTGTACATATAATCAGAAATTAATCCTGCTAATATTTGTGGGATTTATTCTCATTATGTAATATACAAAATATATACTTTATTTAAGCTTCGTGTGCTTCATGTCAAGATATAATCTGCCATGTCATATTCTTTGTAAAATGTTTCTAAATGTTAAAAAGCCAAAATATTTTAAACTACATTCTATTGTAGTTTAATACTATTATTTGTTTGCTGCAGAGTTGTCCATAAAAATGCTTGAAGAATAGAGTCTTAACCTACTTGAGATTTCTTTTTACAGGTGGACAATTTTTAGTGGAATTCAAATGCCCCTTCTCATCTCTCTATATCGCTTCCATCCTTGAGATTCCCCAATCTTCTGTTACAGATTTTTTGAAATGAAAAGGAATCTGAAAGAGATTGTACATTCATTTGATATTAGCAAGTTTGAAAATTCTCATCAGACCCTTACTTAGCTCTATGATTCTTATGTAGCTAATTTGTAAACCTGGCCATTTGGATGGCCAGCCTGTCTTACTTAGAAATTGACATATAATTCTTAAGTCATAATGTAAAAACTGATACCAATAGCTGAATGATACTTATAGAATTTAAAGAAAAAATATTATTTTTTTAAGTTGTGTCCAACTTTTCACAACCTCATAGATCAGGGGTGTCAAACTTACGACGACACGTTGTCATCACATGATGTATCGCAACTTTCTCCCCCTTTGCTAACCCAGGGTGGGTGTGGCTAGCATATGATGCATCCGGCCTGCAGCCTGCGAGTTTGACACCCTGTCATAGATCATAGCATGCTAGACCCCCCTGCCCAAATTCAAAAGAAGAAAAGCACACCTATATATGGGTTATATACTAGTAACTTTGGAAAGTAATGTCACGTTTCTTGTACTTCAAATTCTGGCCAGCTGGTTTGGGTCCTTGGAATAAAATTATACTTTCACTGCTTTTATTCTGCTTTCTTGTTTGCAAATTATTGGACCAGGGGGAATAAAGGGTTGGTGGTGGTTAGATATGGTGTTCATCATAGCACTACTTTTTCTCCTGATAACAGTTCCATGGACATACCAATGTACAGTAAGAACTGCTAAGGTTAAGGAACAAGTATTGAGGAAGGGGAGTCCATATAATGCAGTGCTAAGATGTTGAAACAGGTTTGAGGAAAGCCAGATTTACGACCACCTTCAATCACAAAAACCTACTGTGTGACCCTGGTCCAATGACTTTCTCCCATTGAAGTTATCTCAGGACAAGGATAAAATGGACAGGAATCCTTTCATAAGATGATCCCAAAGCTTGGAAGAAAGATGATACATGCATATATAAATAAATGTACCCAAGTGTGCAGATTTTTCACTTACGAAATATTTATTGTACAGCAATGTTCAAGTACATGTGAATTTTTTAGAACACAGTTTTGTCTGTACGGAGAAATGATTTTCCATTTTCAAAAATATTTTTTTGAGAATTATTAGCTTTTCATGTGGACATCTATTTTTCTCTAGTATTCCTTTTCCTTTTAATTGATATATTTCAACTTGGGTAACACTGCTCTTTTCTGGCTATCATGAACTAACTTTCTTTGAGAAAAATTAGTCAATTTGATCAGAAACACAACCTTGGAAATTCATTATTGTTATTAGTTTGGAAACATGATTTTTTCCCCTTCTCTTCTGTGGATCTTTTAAAAACATGTTCTAGAAAAAAAATATATTCTAAAAGCACAAACTGTCTTTCTCCTTATTCATCTCATGGCTTCTTTAAACAGAGGTGATTTTTTTTTCATTTTTGGGGAAGTATCAGGATTTTTCTTTAAAGTACTATTGGAAAAGGAATGCGAACTAGTGAAGATACCTGTCTTGCTTACAATTAATGTCTTTATTTACAGGATTATGCTTTTGATATCCATGCCACTATACAATGTTTGATGAGTGTATTTATTTTGAGGTGTAGGAGTTTGATATATTGGATGAAAAATACCTCAATTTTTCTTAAGAATGGTAATTTTACATTTATTTTGTATTCACTCCTATTTTGCGTTTCTTTGAAAAAACTGATTGAGTATAATTAAATGTAGTATAGGATAATGCATTAAATCATATTGAATGTGCTTCTGAAATGTGTAGTTATGTCATAGAGTTAAATTATTTAGCAAGAAACTTAATTCAGACAACAGTAGTACAGATATTCCTCATTTAGCAACTACCTTGTTCAGTGACCATCCGCAGTTACGACTGTGGTGAAAAAGTAACTTAATGACCAATCTTTGCATTTGCAACTGTCACAGGTCTATAAAGGAAAGCTGAAGTAAGATCATAAGTTGCTTTTGATAGCAAAAGGGATGACATCATAAATTTAATAAATTTCATAAGTTTCATTTATTATTTTATTTTATGACTTACTAGTCCCAATTATGGTAGCTAAATGAGAGCTACTTCTACTTTCCCCCGCCTCCCAAAGTTTTATGTACGAAGCCACCATTTAACATTTTGTTCAGACAACAAGAATATTATGACTTTGTGGATGGCTAGTTCCTAAAAATGTTGAAGGATCCAAAAAATGGCCCAATTTCTCATGCAGACATGATATTCTTCCGATTAAAATCGGAATTCTGATTTTTTTGGAAATCCCCCCCTTCCCCCCCTCTTCTCCTCCTTCCCCTCCCCTCGGAGGCCCCCTGAGTCAGGAGTTGCTACCGCCAGCGCGGCTCCAGTCCCACGTTGCCTCGGGAAGGGAAAGGCAAAAAGGAAGAGCCGCGGCGGCGCTTTGCAACAGCAGCAGCGGCACCGGAGGCTCAGGCGCAGCAGCTCCTGGTTTTGCCTTTCCCTTCCCAAGGCAACGCGGGACTGGAGTCGCGCGGAGCCGTGCCGGTGGTAGCAACTCCTGACAGCCCCAGCCGGACACCTGAGCGGAGCCTGGGCGGTGCGAGCGGAGGCCGCTGAGCGGCAGGAAAAGGGAGCTGGGCAGCCACGGACCATCCATCTCTCCGTGCAACACGCCACCGCCCGGCCCTGGCGAGGGAAAGCGGGTGCTCCCCGGGCGGTGGCCTCGGCCCCGCCCCCAGGGAAGCGGCTGCCCAGCTCTGGAGCTGATCCACACGTGACCGGCTGGAAAGGAAGGGTGTGTAGCGTTGGTGTTGTGTGTGCGATTTCTTGGCTCGCGGCGCGGGGTCTCTTGGCTGGCCCCGATTTTTTTTTCATTGGGGAATATCATGCCTGCTCATGTTGTTTGAAAAACACAATCATAATTTGGGTATTATGACTTTTATGTTGCAAAAGTATGGAAACAGGCTTAGTAATATCTGAAAATAAGAGTTTAAAGATCTTAATAGCTAGATACTCTTTATTTCATTAGTATCAGGAATGTTTTTGTGTTAGAGACTGCAGTGGCTCATAAATAAATATAGGAATATAAATAGAAAAGGCAAGATGTACATTTTAGAAATAAGGGTTTTCTGTGGCTGAATCTTTTTGCACATAATAAAATTGCCAGATTACACAGGATTTATACATAGGTTTTATTGTGTGAATTCTAAACTGTTAAGGTTGTTGGCTGAGTATGTTGTTAATGTTTGTTATTGTGTGGCCAAGCTCAAGGTTATTTTCAAAACCTAGCCTGAAACCATTGTTCTTATAAGGTTTAGGATTAGCCCACTCACAGTAATTAAATAGAAACTAAAAGTCTTGGAATGTATTCATTCACTACCTAATAATTAGAAGGCCTGATGTATCAAATAATGAATTCAGCTTCATAGACGTGAAGTAGATTTCAAACAATAAATTGGGTTTTATACAACTTTCTATTGCTTTGTCCTGTTTGGGATTTAAATGCTGCACCTTAAAATCCATCAAATAAAATTTGCTCATGAAAGACATGTTCTTGACACTTGCCAATTAGACTGGGAATTAAAGGCTGCTTACATTAGTTCTTTCCTAAAAGTCTGATCCATATGTACTTTGAAGGACTGGCAAGGGAATGCCGAAGAAGAGAAAATTGCCTTTTCCAAAAAGATATAAATAGGAGGTTGTTTTACAGTCAAACCCTAAGTATACAGCATTAATCTATATTGTGTTTTTAAATTTTTTAAATAAATGAGCTGACAGAATTGAAGTAGTTAAGTTCAGATGAGAACTTTCAATCCACCAGTTCTCATCAGTTCCATTCAGTCTGATCAGGGGTCAGCAATTATGAAAATTAACATCTTTGGGGTGGTGGTATATGTTTGACTCTTCTTCCATAAATATTGTCCTTACAGATTCAGCTTTTGAAGTTTTAAGAAAGGATTTTATAACTTAAATCTTACTATTTCCTTCCCATCTAGCAAATTCTGAGTTTGAAGTTTCCGTGTCTGCAAGAAATATCCGAAGGTTACTGAGTTTCCAGCGGTACTTGAGATCTTCCCGTTTCTTCCGGGGTATTACTCTTCCAAATTCTTCAAACATTTTAGATGATGATTACAACGGACAAGCAAAGGTTTGTTTTTGCAGCTATCTTGTAACTTTGCTCTAAAAGAAATAGTAACTTTTATTAGGTGTTCAAGTAAATAAATAATTTTTATTAACAGTTGATAATGTATATGTTCCAGACTTGTAGAAGTGAAATTTCTGTTTATCTTTTCCCTCTGCAATTTGCCAGTTCTCATCAATGTAGATAATATACATTGTATTTTTAAAAAAATCTATAATTAAAAACAAATAATCATAACTAAAACACTGAAAGTCAGGACTAACAAGAAGTCAGTGTAATAACATATACATAATGCATAAACTTAGGAGAAAGCTGTCTAGTAAACCATGTTTAAATATTTTCCTGAAGACCAGCAAGGATTGCTAGCCTGATTGCTGTCAGGCTATTCCAAAGCACAGCCAATGCAACAGAGAAGCAACACCTTCCTCTAACAGTTGTGCCAAAAAAAGTATCAACATAGAAATAGATCTAACTAGGTGGCACGTGGAAAGCAGCGGGCAAAAGTTTTGTCCAAAGAAAGGTTCAGATGAGTCTGCTTTATTTTAGAAATAGTTAATCATTTTAATATTGATCTACTTAGGTATTCCACCCCCCCCCCCCCCAAAAAAGATGTTCTGCTTCTATGAGAGGAAACTGTTAATGCAAGAAGGCAGTTGCATCCCAGCTGATCCATTAGTGGAGAACATGATTCCTTCTAGAATTTTTCAAGTCAAAACAATGATGTGGTCTCAGACCAGGCATATTGTTGCTTTTCTCTTCTGACTACTATTCCTTTCAGAATCTGTATAGATTTATAAAATTGCAGCAAGGGTGATTCAGATATATAGCATTTAGAAAGAAGTGGTTTTTATTCCCAAATAAAATGTTGCTTTCTTTTGCTTTTCAGTGTATGCTAGAAAAAGTTGGGAACTGGAATTTTGATATCTTCCTTTTTGACAGGCTAACAAATGGTAAGATTTCATTTGTTACTTTGAAGATACTCCTTTAAAAACTGAGCAATTGCTGTATGTGTATATAAACTCATTTAAATTGTTGGGCTACCAAAATAGATTGACTAATATTTTACTTCTTTCAGATATGAAATCTGGTAACCTGGTAATTAGTTGAGTATTAGACTTATAGAGTTGGAAGTAAGTTTTGTCTTTAAACTTATGTTGGCATTTCTCGGTTTACATGCAGGGTTATAATAAGGGAACGTGCACACATGATTGTCTCCATGTCCCTGTGTGGGACAAGCTGTTGAAAATGTGTTCATATGCATAATGAGAAAATGCTAAGGGAGTTTAAAAGCTTATTCAGTTAAACATTTCTAAAACAATTTATAGACTATTAAGTTAAAGGGAGGTTTAGACTCTAGAGAGTGTTGTTCATAGCTCCAGTTATGCTTTAGCCTTATGAGTAGAGGAATATCTCTGTAGGGATTATATGGTAAGAAGTTTGTGGCTCAAGAGACTTGAAACAGCCAGTTCCTTCACTTTTTAAAATTCTGATCTCGTACTTTTTAAGGCAATCATGTATTAAGGACCTGTGGAGAATGTGGTAATGCAGGAAGTTAAACTTGCATTCAGGTTTACATAACTACTTTGCATAAATACATTGTTTGCTTTATGCAGGGTGTTCTGTATCAGTGATTTTCAAAGTTGGCAATTTTAAGATGTGTAGACTTCAAATTGCCATTGACTAAAGTAATCAACCAGTAATTCAGCCAATAAACAAATTGGGATGGGTGAGTTCTGAAAAAATGGTTGGAACAGATAATTTCAGAATGGTAGCAAATATGTGTAGGAGATTGCCTGTTTTGTGGTAAACTCTTAACTCTATTGAGAGAGAAATCAGATACAACTTCCAATTTTATCCTTGAAGGTAATTCTCAACTTACACATGTTTAGTTAGTCCTTTTTGTACTTGAGAAAGTAGGGAAGAATATTTTTCTGTTAAATTTTTGTTTCAATATTTCCTAGTTTTTATTTTGCTAGATCGATAAGAGTCTCACATCAAGTTAACTGCTAACTCATCTGGTTCAGTGACCCAAACTATCATTTAAAGGTAGTCCTTGATGTACAACCATTCATTTAGTTACAATGGCACTGAAAAATGTGATCTTTTCCACACAACTGTTGCAGCATTCCCACAATCACGTGATCAAAATTTAGATGCCTGGCAACTGGCATGTATTTGTAACGACTGCAGTGTCCTGGGGTTATACCTTTTGAGACTTTCTGACAAGCAAAGTCATTGGGGAAGCCTGATTCATTTAGCAACTGTGTTACAGGTAGTCCTTGACTTACGACCACAATTGAGGCCAAAATTTCTATTGCTAAGTGAAACATTTATTAAGTGAGTTTTGCTTCATTTCCTTCTTGCTACAATTGTTAATTGAACCACTACTGCAGTTGTTAATTTAGTAACCTGGTTGATAAGTGAATTTGGCTTCCCTGTTGACTTGGCTTGTCAGAAGATCCCAAAAGAGGATCACGTAACCCTAGGACAACGGTCATAAATATGAACTAGTTGCCAAGCATCTGAATTTTGATCACCTGACTATGGGGATGCTGCAAAGGTTGTAAGTGTAAAAAACGGTCATCTTTTTCAGTGTCGTTGTAACTTCAAATGGTCACTAAATGAAACTGTTGTAAGTTGAAAGGCCTTGTGACCAATATGCAGTTATGGCCATTGCAGTGTCCTGCAGCCTCCAAGTTTCAAAACCGGCTTCCAATAGCAGAATTAATGGTGATTGTAGAAGTGAAATTGAAAATTGTGGTCGCATGATTATTGTCACGGTGAGTCACGCAATTAGATTTTTCATCTAGCAACTGCAGCACATAGCAACAAAGTTGCCTGTCCCAATTATGGTTGGTAAAGAAGGACTATCTGTAAAGGCATTGTTGAAAATTAATGGATTAATTTTATAATACAGGGTGATAGATTTCTGAATCACTTGATGACATGAAAGCACTAAAAATTAGAAGTTTAATTAAAACATTGAGAACTATATTCTAGTTACAGATACAAAGAAGAAATATATATGTTATGTATGATAGAATTATTTAAACAGACTTGTCTACTTCCTATTAAACATGGTTTTTTTGTGTATGTGTATTTTTAGGAAACAGTTTGGTCACTTTAACCTTTCACCTGTTTAATCTTCATGGACTTACAGAATACTTCCAACTAGATACAATGAAGCTGCGCAGATTTTTAGGTAAAAACTTACTAAGTTCAAGCATTCCCATTAAATCTTTTCTTTAAATGCATTTCACTAATTTGCAGCAATTCTTTTTAATAAATTGAGAAAACTATATTATGGATTGATAATACTTCATGAATATTGTCCAACGTGAGAAAAAAATACCTATAAAATAAGGAAACTCAACAAAAAAATGAGATAATTCTGTAGTCCTGGGTATTTTTATATAGTGATTTCCTAGATGTGTGGCAATATATTTGGCAGATTTTACAGGTAAACTCATCCTTATGAAGATTAAAAAAATGATTTTTTTAAAAAAGTAGTAGTTTGCAAACTATTACTGAGGAATTGGAAGGCAGAATGTATACCTTGTCTTTAGTGGTTATTAATAATGCGGCCAAGTAGATTACCTCTCTTCTGCCTTAACTGCAGAGCAATTCAAATTACTGCAGGTACATTAAGGGTGGGTGACTGGCATTTTCCAGTACTGTAATACTGAAGTTGAAGTGATTAGAAAAACAGTAACACCCACAACTTAAGAAATCTGGATGTTTTGCAGCAGTTGTGCTACATAGTTCAAAATGAAACACTTTATCAGAAAGGCCTTTGTGCTAATGTTGCAATTAAATCTGCATATAAATGTATGTTGTATATTGGCATTCTCTGGTAATTTAGTCACTGAAAAAATGCAGGATTATACAAGTCAAATAAATTAGGTAACTTATTGTAATGACCCAGAGTGTAACACAAACATAACAAAATCCAAAACGTAAATAAATGTCCTTTAATGCCTCCAACTTGGCCCCATTGTTCAATAATTCTCAGTTGGAGATAAAACATACTCAAAAATAGTCTTCAAAAGGAAACAATATAGTCAGAATTTAATGAGCAAATAGAGGTTAAAATAAAAACCAAACAAACTACAATGATGAAATTTCCACAACGGAACAGGAGAAGTATTTACCAAATTCAAGGAGATAACGAGGCACAGTCTGTTGGAAGGACGCCAACCAAGATAACCTCAAACCAAAATAAAACACGCTTTGTTTCCAGCGTTTGCTAGAACGCAGGTCCAAACTCTTATGCAGTTCTCACCTGCAGCCCATGAAGAGGATCAAGGCCCTCTCCTCCTGAGTAGACCACGTCTCTCCCTTATCCTCTCCTCCCCATGTGCCCTAGGATGGATAGGGGATGGGCCTGGGTCCTCCTCTGACTGCTCAGCTGGCCTCTGCCCTTCCCCAGCCTCCTCCACAACCTCCTGAGCCACACTTCCACTCCCTGTAGGTTGTTCCTCCTCTCCCTCAGAGTCAGTCTCCACCAGGGGCATGACACTTATTAAGGCAAAAACTTCCTTGAGGTAGATACTGTACTTGGTGATTACATGAAACATTTGCAGCAATATGGAAACAGCTATTTTTTACAGTCTTCTGGGATATAACTTGTCTTTATGAATGCATTGAGATTTCCTGGTAATCTCTTGTCTGAAGATTTCCATGGCTCATTGTACTTTAATTTTTAAATCAGATTTTGGTTAGCTACCAAGTATAGCAAAACAATACATTCTTGATTATAACAAGTTAAAAAGATGTTTGAGGTATTTATTGTCAATGTGCATCCCCTGAATGTAAAAATATTTTTCTCTAACACTCCTCCCCCCCTCCCCCAAAACCCCCCAAAATACAATCCTAATGAAATGTTATGTGATTCATAACTTGCTGTAAGGAGAAAAACATGCTTGCTTTTATGGGCATAAAGTCAACGGGAGCATTTCCAATAATCGATCTTCATTTTATCTTAAGTATTATCATTTTAGATTGATACTGGCAATGCTTTTCTATATTTTCTACATTTAATATGCCGGGCAATTTTCTGATTTTTTCCCCAATTTGAATTTTTAAAATGAATAGAAATCTTATTTTCTAGACATGAAAAGCACGTTTAGAAATCTCTGAATGTTTTAAAGGTTGCCGCCTTCATTTGAATTTTTGTGGTAAATCATTGTTGAAGTTTATCACATTTTATATTATATTTTAATTGATATGAATCAAGAATGGAAGGGAATATTTTGGGGTTACGTCTTTCCCCTTTTCCTCCACACATTAATACTTACTTTCATTTGTAGTAATGGTTCAAGAAGATTATCACAGCCACAACCCATACCACAATGCAGTTCATGCTGCTGATGTGACTCAGGCCATGCACTGTTATTTAAACGAACCCAAGGTAAAAGAAAAACCAGTCCTGTCATTAATAATTTTCATGCATTTATAACAAAATTGCTATTACAAAAAAAATTGAGGAGTAGTGACATTAATGACATTAAGCAAAGGTAATATAGAATGTAATTGTTTTTTTAAGAGCTTGTTTTATGCCAGAGATTCTTTTTTGATACAATTTCCTACAGATATATTGAGTATACTGGTTGGAGTTTCTGGAGTTATAGCTCAGTACAAATTGAGAGGGATCCAGTTGGGGAAAGTTCTTGTAATACTTTTGAAACTTATAAGAATGTCGAAATCAGGATTGTATCAATTATGGGAGATTGCATATTTGTAAAGAAAAAACTAACAATACTCCTTATTGTTTCAATATTGCTAGCCGTACAATTAAAAAAAACAACAACCAAAGAATTCTATGGACTAACTAAAATGTAATCAACATGAGAAATAACTTGATGCCATGGTGAAACTCCGTTGGAAATGCTAGCTACATTTTTGGGAAGTATTAGTAATAGATATTCATATGGTCATAATTTATATATTACAGCTTTTCCAATCTCTAACTCCATGGGATATTCTGCTCAGTTTAATTGCAGCTGCCACTCATGATTTGGATCATCCAGGTGTTAACCAGCCTTTTCTTATTAAAACAAACCATTATTTAGCAACTTTATACAAGGTAAGTAGAAGACGAAGATTTCTGTCCTTTAATGGGATCTGACTAGCAGTGATTGATCAGGAAAAGAATCTTGATATCATATAGTACAGAGCTTGAGGAAAATGTCAAATCAGCAGGCAGTTGCTATTAAAAAAAGGCAGTCCCTGTTTGGAATTATTAGGAAAGGAGCTGAAAATAGAACTGTGGATATAATGCAACCCTTAAAAATTAAGGTTGCACTTGTTTTGTATAACTTTGATTATTGCATCTTATGAGGCAGTTTATTGTATAGTTTTAATCACTGTATCTTAAGAAAAAATGCAAAAAAGAACAACCAAAATAATTAATGTTAGTGTAGCCCAGTGCAAGGAAAAATTATAGCAACTGGGCTGTTCAGCTTAGAATATAAAGAATAAGGGGAGATATTATAAAAATTACATAAAATTATCATGGCATAGTTAACATGAAGAGAAAGGACATTTTCTCATTCAATGATAGCAGCCCAGACTATCTACTGAAACTGAATACAGGTAGATTGGACTGACATAAGGAGTTTGTGACATTTGGGCAGTTTTAAAAGGAACCTGGATAGATTTATGGAGAAACAATATTGTCAGTAGCTATTAATATGGATGAATATTTATTACTCTTGAATCAAGGGCAGCTTGTCTTACTGGCTATTGGGAGGTGTGAGAGGGGAGAAGGTGTGTCGCACACAGTCTAGGGTTGGTGATAAAGAATGTTGAAGTGAACTTACGAATTGATCTAATAACCTTTTTATGTTCTATTCAAAAGTATTAAAGTGTTTAATAAAAGAAAGGAACATATGATACACATTTTTTAAAAGAAATGATCATTTCTGTGGAAAAATTTTTTTTTGAAAATCCAAATACAAAAAAAAAAATGCCTAAAAGTTCCAGCACAAGGTGATAGTAGCAGATATATAATCAGTTTGGATACTTTTAAAAAATCCCTACTTAAATAGTTTTCATCATTATTCAAAAGTGAACAGAGAAGACATTTTGGTAATCCTAAACTTTGCATGACAAGATCTCTCGCATCTGAACAGTTGCCTGCCTTTTCAGCTGTAAGCAAGACCAGGAAAGCGTGTTTACACTGGAACAAAGCATGCTCTGGTTCTCATCTGGGCTATAAGGGAAATGCTATTCTTCAAGTTCAAAATCAACTGAATCTGCGTATTGGTGAAGCCAATAAAGAGAAGTCAGGAAAGGAATGTGTAGTTGATAAAAGTGGCTGATTTATTCAGGAAATTAATAGGATTGTGTTCTGTTTGTTAAAAATCTGTATAATATGTTCATTGTTATATGTAGTTCAGCATTCAAATAATATATAATATTAATAATCTTTTATTTAATTTCAGAATACCTCAGTATTAGAAAATCACCACTGGCGATCTGCAGTGGGGTTATTGAGAGAGTCTGGATTATTTGCACATATGTCACTAGAAAGCAGGTATTTATCAGATTTCCCAAAACCCATAATTTTTACAGAATGGAGAATACATTACAGAATAAAAGATTTAAAACGGATAAAATAATGATAAAAGGTAGTTGTATTTTTCTAAAATGCATTATAATTCTGAATGCAATTTTACGTTCCCATAAATAAAGCTAAATGCAGGTGGTTTTCACAATGATTACTCATTCAGAGAACATTCAAATTTGCATTGAACTAATGGTACTTAGGACTGATGTCTCAAAAGTTCCAACTGTCACAGCAATCCTCTAGTCTCATGATTGCAATCCAGCTGCGCAGCAACTCGCTCGCAAATACAGTGTCCCGTGATCACGTGACTGACATTTGTGACTTTCGGGGCTTGCTTTGCACAAGCAGAATAAATGGAGAAATTGGCATGAGGTTACAAATGCTTAACAATCATGTGGGATATGCTTGTCAGTGGCAACCGAAAGTGCTGGAACTGCTGTTGCTAAATGGTTTGATCATGTCACACTTGAAACAGCAATTCCAGTCCCAATTGTTGTTGTTAACTGAGGACTATCTGTAAGAAAAATGAATGAACCATAATTCTTGATTCATGGTACTTTCATCTATACTGTGATCATTTTTAATGATGTAGAAAGTTATAATCCAGATACCTTAGATGATTTGGATTAACTTTCCCAAACAGCATACTTTCCCAAACACCTGGAAGGCACCTATAGACAGAATTTATTGATCTATAGAATACAATCAGAAAAATGAACAACACAAAACTGACTCCCAATGAAAGAAGCAACCAAAGCATACATGTCATGTAGCAAAATTTTGCTACTTTAGAGAAATAAATTTATCTTGATTATTTAACAAACAGTACAGATAAAGCTGTAAGAGTGCCCTGGAAATTTAAATAAAAGAGTGGTAATCAACTGGTGGCATATGTTCCTGTAGAACTGGCAATATAGAAGAACCTGGGCTGTGGTTTCTGTGGCACCCATATCACAATGGTAGTATCTGGTTTCATACGAGTTTTCCTGTATTTTTCTTCAAGGACAATGGTGGGGGGGGGGGGGCAGAGGGGGGGGTGGGAGGTCTGGAATACACCTAAAGATCCAAGTTACATATTTGAATTACTAAATTTAAATTCTACGTTTTCCAAACATTGCAAATGTATAATCAGTGTTGAGCTGAATATTGTGTAATGATTCATGTTTACATTTACCTACTAATTATTGCTTTGCATTTCTTCTTATTATTTCCAATTTTAGGCAGCTGATGGAAAGCCAAATAGGGGCATTGATTCTCGCCACTGATATTAGTCGTCAGAATGAATATCTATCCCTGTTTCGTACCCATTTGGACAAAGAAGACTTATGCTTATTAGAGGAAGATCATCGGCATCTTGTCCTTCAGGTAACTTGCATGAATCTTAAGTGGAAAAGAAATTATGGTAAACAGTATCCTTGTAATATATGGTTTGAAAAAGTCCTAGTTCTTTACTTATAGTTTTTATAAAAATATAGTTTGTTGAGTCTGAAAGTTAAGGTCTCCTATTTGTTCCTTTTGCAAATGTAATACAACAATATATGTTTTCCTATTCTGGCAGGACCATTTGATAGAAACGGATATCTCCTCAGTTTTTTAAATGTTCAAAAAACAGCAAGAATCTGTATTTTTCAAAACAAAAAACATTGCTATATATTTTTTTAAAAAAAGGTTTTAACCTTTAACCTTTTTTTATCAGCTCTTGTAGGAACAAACCAATGTCTTTTCAGTTTTAATGATTTAGCTTTGATTCAACAGGGAAGCAATTACGTAGAATCTGAAATCTTGCCACAGTTTTTGTTCTGAATTTAATGTGTATTGCTACAGAATTGATTTGACTTGACATTTTTGAACTTGTAAAGGTAAAATAGTGTAGTTATAAGTTAATAGGCAAGACGACTTTTTTTCTTTCAAACATAATTATTACATTGTTGCCATCTGACATTTCAGGTAAGAAAATCCAATCAGGTTGGTTTCAAAAACGAAGTCTTAAAACGGGACAATATTTAAAATACCTTTAAGGATTGCTATGTTTTATCAAAATAATAAACTGTAATTTATTATCAGAAGTACTGAAGGTTAATTGAACTGTACTAATGAATGATAATCACTTTCATTTATACTCATGTTTTTTTCTCCCACCTGTTTTCCTTCTAGCCTGTATGACTGGCATTTCTTCCCATAATAATTTCTTCCTTTAGTTTGTTAATTTATCTTTGGTTCATTTTATCTCATTCTCTCTCAGAAATTATGTGCTATTAAAATAATGGATCACCGTGTTCTGTTTTAATTACAGAAAGTCTCTATTCCACTGTTTCTTATATCCATTTTTATTGCAAATAGAATTTCATAGAATTTTATGGAAGGATAGTATTATATTAGTTCTCCACAAAGTATAATATACATATAAAGTCACCCTGATGCTTAATTAATAATAATTAAAAAGATAATTATTTAAAACTTGCTGTTAGACTACTTGTTTTAAAATAGTAAGAATTATGAATATTTCAATAACATTTCAGTGTACCATTGATACACTAATTTCTGTCTTTCATCTTGAATGGATTTCCTTCTCATGTGCATATTTGCCATACTCCAGTGTAATTAAACTCAAACTGTTAAATTTAGTGGTACATCTCAATTAACTCTATGTGGCCTACAGCTCTCATTACTCATTATCATTTACTTTGTCAGCTTTAACTTTTACTATTATCTTGATTTTGGGATATTACATGGTAACTGTATGTTTAAACATGAATGCTAAGACAAACTAAAACTAAATAATGTATTTATTTGTTTGCTAGATGGCATTGAAATGTGCTGATATTTGTAATCCCTGTCGGACCTGGGAGCTAAGCAAACAGTGGAGTGAAAAAGTAACCGAAGAATTTTTTAATCAAGGCAAGTAGTGAGAAGTGAAGAGTTATTACCATAGATTGTGAAACACTGATGGCTGTGGTGATTGCAAAGCAACCTGAGCTATTTGCAAGAGTTTCTATGGAGTTGGAATGGCTTCATTAAATTACTGTTGCTGGCATACTATTTTTTCTAGATCTATTTTTTGATTTATTGTTTGGTTATCTCCCATCAGGTCGTTTTCATTCCCGGCGACCATGTGTATAGCTTTACTCCATGATGATGTATCCCTAATCCAGGGGTGTCAAACTTGTGGCCTGCGGGCCGGATGCGTCACGCGCTCACGCCCACCCATTTTAGTGAAGGGGAAAAAAGTTATGCAAGTTTGACACTTCTGCCCTAATCTGTTCTTTCAAGTCTCCCAATGATGCACTCACTGTCATTGTAACTGAAAATAACCCCCTTGCTGCTTGTGGCACCCCCCCTCCCCCAAATTACATTAGGCAGTATGAGATGTTCATGCACGTGACTGGAGAGTGTTGTTTTCTGTTTTCATGGGCATTTTTTTTAAAGTAAATTGTAAAAGTTTATTTTAAGAGTGCACACAGCAGTATCTATGTACCCTTCTCTAAACACTGATAAATCCCACAGCTAATTTTTATTAAGAATGGGTCTGGGGGTTTTGGAGGTGGGGGGCATATTTTCTGATATTGTGGATAATAGATGATTAAAACAAGATTCTGTTATAGGAGACATTGAGAAAAAATATTGCTTAGGTGTGAGTCCGCTATGTGATCGACAGACAGAAACCGTTGCCAACATCCAGATTGGTAATTACTGATTTATGTGGAAAATTGTCATAATTTTTATGAATATATAATATGGAGCTAGAAATGAATAATTTAAAATGTCTTTGGCCAATTACAAGTTTTTTTCTTTTATTGCAGTGTATTAATGTTGCTTGAATTATGCTCATTGACTTTAAAGTTTCTGGGTTCATGAAACAGGATTTCTTTTATCTATCCCTTATAATTTGCCTGAAATACTGTTAAATTGCTTTTTGAAATGAGCTTAAAATTTCAGTCTAATTTTGATTAAACCAATTTCCTTGTTAATATTTACATTTGTGTTTTGGAAAAGAAATATTTTTATTTAAAATGTTCTTCCTAATATAAAATAGAAATAAAGATAATGGATAAAAAGGAGGGGAAGGAAAGTAGGAGAAGGGAAAAGAAATGTTTTGATAGGTTTGCATGCTCCATTCTGAACTTCATGGTTTAAATTAATCATGTGTGTTGGTGCCCAAATTCAACATACTGTGATACATACTGCTGTTGTATTTAGATTCTAGCCATAAATTGGAAACTCCTTTCTAGTTACATAGTTGGAGAATGACTGTAATTTGCAATTAATATTGTCTGTCTCCATCTTAAAAACAGACTGTCCACAAAGATAAACTCAATAAATCAAATCCAAAACTTACCTGATGCAGCATCCTGTTTCTATAGTGGTCAGCTGGGTCCCTGGGAAGGGCCATTGGCGGAGCAGGAATGCCATATCACCCTCCTGCTCGAGTACTTCAGCAGCAACTGCTGCTTGGGATCATAATGCCTTTGATCTTGTCCTAGATCTTTGGGAAGCGCCATATCAAGGCTCTGTTTTAGTCTAAATATTGGGTGCACCTATTGGTCTGAGTGTTTGTAATCTGTGCCCAGTTTGTACAATTTGTCATATTGTAAAGTAAAACTAAATTCATAGAAAGAATGATAAAACTGTTTCTCAAGGACTATATTGTTATATTTACAAATTATTTTATTCACTGTATACATTTCCTATGCTCAGTAATATGCAGATGCTGTACAGTATAATAAAACCATGAAATACTGAAATATTCTTAAAATGTACAGAGTTGTGGGGTAGGATTTTTTGATGTTTAAATTATAACTTATTTTTTCTTTCTAGGTTTCATGACCTATTTGGTGGAACCATTATTTGCAGAATGGGCTCGTTTTTCAAACACCAAGCTGTCGCAAACTATGCTTGGCCACATGGGACTGAATAAAGCTAGTTGGAAAGGTATTCAGAGAGAACAATCTAGCAGCGGTGATGATACTGATCCTGCATGTGAGGAAACAGACTCTGATGTAGTACCTCAGGAACACAGATTATCCTGACCTCAGGATCTGCTTAACAAACTGCTATTGCTTGGTACCTACAGACCAGCGTTGGAGGATAAATTCTGCCAAGGTTTCAGTGTAAACAATGTCAGCATTATTTATTTCCAATTGTTTCCTTTGAGAAATCATTTGAAAATGGTTTTCAGTTACAAGACCTGAATACAGAGCAATATGCATATGCCTCGGTTGGCTTCTGCATGAAACCTTGATTATGCAACCCTGAGAAGAATATAAGTCTTGACTGAGAAAGTTCAAGATTTGTTATGTGCCACATCATTTGGTTTTTTAAAAGGTTTGACATAAGACCTTCAAAACTGCCACATGACATGGATGATTCTTTTCCTGGAATTTAGCAGGACTCCATTCAATCCTTGTCCGAAATGTGGAGTGCCCATACTTGGCTGCCTTGGGCAAGAACTGATGTTTACACAGACTTGGAAACTGTAGATTCAAAAATAACCTTTTTGCATGGCTGTGAACGAACCACTGATTTTTTTTTTTTAAATTATCAAATCTGAAACTGCAGCTCATTTTTCTCTTAGTAAGAGAAGTCCCGCCGTGGGTTACAAACTTGGTTGTGTATTGGGAATTGAACATTTAACATAAAGCACAGCCATGTTTTACTCCAGAGTATGGGAATGCAATATAGCAAGCAGAAATACTTCTGAATTTTGGGAAGGGAGGTGGGATGGAGGAGAGGAAGATCTTCAAATTATGTTAAGATTCTATGGTGAAAACATTTGCATGTTGTTTTTGCTATTGTACACTTGAACTGCACATGCAACAAAAAAGGTGGAATGACTACCAGAAACAGCTCAGGGTATTGCCAGTCTGAAATAAAGTGGGATGGAAAGCATGTCCTTCATAACAAGGGTACAAAATGCCCCTTACGCTGCAGTGTGTGTGTGTGTGTGAGAGAGAGGGGGGGGGGGGAGAGGATGAGTGAATGAGTTTTTGGTGGGATTGGGAAAAAAGGGAAAATGGAAAGGACTCAAAAGGCATTTTTTAATTTATTCTTTTTAGAATGTGATATTTTCATGAGCAGCCACGGGGGAAGGGGAACTGATAGGTTGTTACAGCTGCCTTAAACTATGCACAAAGCTAAGTGACCAAATTTTGTTGATTGAAAAAGTGCATTGTTTACTTATTCCCTCCCTCTATTGAAATGTTACCCATCCTGGGTTTTTTTGATGTGAAAAGGAGAAATGTTTTTAAGGACAAATTTTAAGGACTAATTTTTAATCTTCAAGCATTCCTTTTTTTGTAAGTTTTAAGTTTTAAGTACTGTAAGCACAAATGTAATCTATTTTGAGAAACTGGTGCTTTAATTTTGTTCATTTGTATTTTCCTTGTTTTTACTGTAAAGACTGTTTTGTTCTGTTTACAATTTGCAACAGCCATTTTTGGGAGAGAGCTTCAGTGTAAAGCCATTTCTTAAAGGCTTTGCCATCCTCATGTTAATGTGCCTGTTGCTGTTAATCTTTGATTAATAATAAAAACTTTTCACATTATCTGGAGTCTAGTTTGAAAGGTGGAGAAACAGTCAAGATCACGTTAATCAGAGAACTTTTCTTAGTTGCTTTGGACTCTATAAGGGCTTCTTTTGTGGTCGTTTTCTTTGTGGTGCCTATGCAGCAGATATACAGCACTTAAACCAAACTGTTCCAAAGTCACGGAAAATCTTTAGTGGGAAGCATATCCTAGGGCCCAAATTCCTGGGTGTGGGTTCAGTTATTTCCTCAGTCTCTTTTCAACTACAGAACCAGCGCCAGGAGCCTTTTATTTTAAACTCAGGTGCACGGTAGGTGTTTCAAGGTAGGAATATGAGAGGGGAAGATCTAGGGTCTAGGCCATCATTAGGCATGGAAGCTCACTAGGAGATTTTGGGACAGTCACTCTTCATCAGCCCAAACTTCCTCAAAGGATTGCTGTTATGGGAAACTAAGAAATCTTGTATTGCAACAAGGTAATCCTATTAAAAAAAAAACTTACCAGTGGTTTGCTTGAGGGTTTTTTCCTTCATTTTTCTGTCTCTTAGTTTGCTTTTCCAATCACAAATTAATTTCTCTAGTATCTTTGATTAGAAGTGAGGCCATAGTGCTCATTTGGCAATTCTACGCCTTTTCTTGGGGAGCCTAACACTAAGGCAGTGAAATAACCTTTTTTGCAAATATATTAATATGGCAAAATCCTATCCATTGATGGGTGTTCCTTGTCTCATATGCCTTAGGAAATCATACATTGGCATTGTTCGCCCGCAAATCAGTCAACCAAAGCTGAGGCTCTTAAGGCTGGTGCTAGTATGGAAATTCTGAATTGCAGGGTCATTGTTCTCTTCATCTGATCCAGACATACAGTAGATGTACAAAATTTAAAAAAAAACATTTGCTATCAACAGCTGTGGTTCCACTTAGTCTCTTCAGTTCCAAACTATTTATGAAACTTGGCACTGTGCACAAAACATCTGGTTAGAAAGAAGGGATAAAAACAGCTTTAATTCTCTTCAGTGGGTTCAGCTTGGTGTGTCCCATAATCCCTATTGTTTGAAATGCAGCCATCTTTTATTCTCCCTTGCTCTTCATTTAATATATTGCTAAAATTTTGTGCTTTGCCTGGTCTTTGAACAACAGTTTTTAGACTCTTCAGTTGCATGTAGAAGTTGTCCAAAGTCTGCCTTTCTGTTGTTCAGATTTTTATTCTTGGCACTGCTTTAATTTCCACAACCTTTTGGCAGATTCCAAATCTTGTGACCATAGGTTTCTACTATGACTGCTATCTCATTAGCAGCTACCTCCTTTCTGGTGTTTTGGGGGTTCTTATTTTCTTCAATCTTAGTGTTTCTAATCTCACTCTGAGACCTGCCAACAGTCATGACACAAATGATTCTTCCAAATTGTATCAGCCATCGGAGAGAGCACAGAAAAAAATCTTACTTATGGTCTTGAGCAAAATCTCAGCACTATTCAGCAATCTTGATGTAATCTCATTCCAGTCTGTCCCTTTCTTTGCTGTTGTATAATACTAATGGTACCATCTCTATAGTGCAGGATCTTTTAGAGACCCAACATCTACCCTGTCTTTTGAATACATTGAATTAATTATCAATCAAAATTGGATAAATCTGCTTCAGAAACCCCTTTTCCCTGTTTCCAGTCATCTAGGCTATGACCATTCTTTCTCTGAATAAAATACAATTTATGCAGAACAGATTTTTCATGTATTAAAAATTAGGTTTTGAGATTCACCAGTCTCTTTATTTGATCTGATATTCAAAATTGCTAATTCTACCGTAATATGCAAACATTGCTACAGCTATTAAAACCATTTAAATCTGCAAAATACTGATTATGGAAATAAGATACCCTGTCTCTATGTTCTTTTTTCTAACTCTTAACTATTGGGGACTCTAGTATTATGTCTGGAAAGAGCAATGCTTCATACTGATAAGCTAGAACTCAATGGGACATAATGGGATATAACATCATTTTTTTTTTTAAGTACATCACCTACGGCTAGGCTTGTATGGTTTCTTTGTGAAATGTTTTTTATTTAATCAACTTACAGGTTACCTCTACAACTACTGCAACTCATGGACCAATTTATTAATTTAAATTTAGTAAATTTACCAATTTACTAGAGAATAAGAAGGCATTTGCTAACATTTTCTACTTGATCTCTGCCTAGATCAAGATTATTAACTTCTTTGATTCTATGGCTTCCTCTAATTTAAATCATGTTATCTGTAGTCCAATCCATAGCACTGTAACATTAAAAGTTGTACCAGGAATCTTTTTATTTACCGTATTTGCCGGCGTATAAGACGACTGGGCGTATAAGACGACCCCCCAACATTTCCACTCAAAATATAGAGTTTGTTATATACTCGCCGTATAAGACTACCCCCTCTTCCACACACCTTCCACTTTTGCACTTCTTTTTTTTTTGACGCACTTTTCTGCTTTGGACAATTTTGAAATGAGCTAATCCAATTTTGAACCAAGAATATGCAAATAGCTATGGAGTTTAGAAATGAGTTTTAAAAATATTTTTCATTGCTTACCATTAAGCGTAAAATATGTTGTAAATAAAATGAGAACACAGGAAACGTTCTCTTCTCAATACAGCTGATCTCTCTCTCTCTCTCTCTCTCTCTCACACACACACACACCAAAAACCCGGACACTGAAAAGGCTGCCAAGGAACAGTATATTCAATGCCTTCTCTTTAATCAAGAAACAAGGAATTCCTTAGAATCTTTTTTTTTCCCCAAGTGGCCCTCTTTAAAAAAAAAATGGAGGTAACACTTTCATTCAAAAAGTCTTCCAGTATCTGGAGTCGCTCAGACATATTGAAGTGAGGCAGGAGAGTAAGTGAAATTTGAAATGATCCAGCTACCGTTTTCTTCCCCTCCCGCCCGAAGGCCATTATCTCCACGTCAAAACGAACGAGGGGAGGCAAAGAAGCCAAACACGCTAAAAAGGATCTCTTTATTTTCCTACACAAGGTCACACCTACTTTTCCGCATTCAAAGGACAACCTCTCCTCACCACCACCACACACACACACACACACACACCAATACCCGCAAACAATGTTCTGGGCATTAATCACCATTGCCACATTAACCTGGTAAATTTATACCCTGCCTCCCCCAGTGTTGCTTTGACGGCAGGATTTCACACAGCGGGGCGCTCGCTCGCTCTCTTCTCCGCTCTCCCACCGTTCACACATGTTGGAAGCACCGTAAAACCTGATAACCCACCCGGGGGCTCCCCCATCCTTAACCTACAGCCGCCCGCATGCAAAACCTGCGTGCAAAAAGAAAAAAAGAAAAAGAAAAGTACGCCGCACGTGAGGATCTTCGAATCCTCTCCTCCCCACACCGCTAAGGAAGGAAGAGGGGGAAAGGTTGCGCAGCGCGTGGCGAGTGACACCCGCCACACACACACACACACACACACACACACACACACACACCGCTCCCCCCCCCAGCCTCCCTCCCGGCTGCAACTCAAGCTCGAAGTGGGAGTCGGAGTCCTCCCGGCGTATAAGACGACCCCCCCACTTGGAGGCATGTTTTTCAGGGCAAAAAAGTCGTCTTATACGCCGGCAAATATGGTATATACCTTCAGCAGTGGTAATGCCGTACCAATGTATTGCATACAGATAGTCCTCAGTGTATGACAACTGAGAATGTAAGTCAGGGTAATTGTTAAGTGAGTCATCAAGGTCATTAAGTGCACCATGTAGTAGTAAGTGTGATGCTTAATCACTGGGTGTTTTTGCCAGAAAATGGCAAAAATGTTGCAAAATGCAATCATAAATGTGAGCCAGTTGCCAACGGCCTAAAATGTGACCACAGGTTGGGAGCAATGCAATATTTTGTGATGGCCCTTTGAGGCCAACATAACTTTAAATAGTAGTTAAGCAACAGTTATAAATTGAGGACTATCTATCTACATTCACACAATTATTTTACAGCATAATCCATATACAGTAGACCCATCTATTTACATACAGTTCTCTTAAACAGCACAAATTAGCAGTAATAAATTAGACTATGAAGTTGAAAATCTTTTGCCTGATAGTATGCTTAACTGTATATTCCTCTCATTAGTCTCTTCCCACATCATCCAGTTTTATCTAAATAATAATTAGCAGGGGTATGATTCATCTCTGTTGCTATACAAGTCAGGCTGGACAGTTTGAAAATATATTTCATTCACAAATCATAAAACAGTCACAAGTTGGCATTTCAAGCTGTTGGAACATCTGAAGCAGCTTTACAAGGTTAAAACACTTTCATATCTCCTATTGTTAAAACTATCTTTTCCAGTCTAAAGCAAACCTGATTAGGACTCATCAGTTACAGGTTGTATCTTTAAACATATCCAATCCTTTTAATGCATGAATTTTGTTTGCTTTAGATGTTCTTAGATCCTGTTGTACAATATTCTTTGTTCAAGCATCAAAAAAATGACCAGACTAATGTAATACAGATATACTATTTTTTAATTTTGAACAGTGTTGGAAAAGTTTAAAAATACTGATGTAACTATATGATAATAAACAAAGTATCTGAGAGCAATTTTACATGATCAAATTAAAAACATTTTCATATCTGAACAAATTTCAAAGTGAAAGGTTTTCATGACAGTGGTCGCCAACCAGTGGGCCAGGGACCACTGGTGGTCTGCGAGAATGTTTGGGTGGTCCGCAGAGAAATGTCCCCCAAAAGCAATTAATCCAGGCTGTGTGGGAACACAAGGCTGCACCACCCACACGGCCTGCCTACCAGCTGGCCCCCACCCTTCAGCCGAGCGCAAACCTTTGAGTAGAGCCATGCGAGCTGCAACTGGAAGATAAGACCAACAGCAGGGGAGGGAAATCTGCCCCAGGGTGGCTTGCTGACATTGGTGGGAAAGTCGGTCCCATATTTCAAAGCTGCCATAGTCACAGGACTGGCCTTTGGTGATCCCGGAGCAGCTCCTCCAGTCCATGTCAGGCTGGTGCACCCAGGTGGAATAGCAGCTGCTCCAGGATGACCAAAGGGCCAGTCCTGTGACTACTGCAGCTCTGGAATATGGGACCGACTTTCCCACCAATGTCAGGAAGCCACCGTCAGTCAAAATTCATATTAGTGGTCCGCGGGATTTAAAATTATGAGTTTGGTGGTCCCTGAGGTCCAAAGGTTGGCAACCTGTTTCATGATATTTAAATTTGCTCTTAATCTCATTCGTAGACAAAGCACCTTTCCTTGTCACACCGAATTATTCAGCAGTTCACAAATACTGCCCCAGATGACAAAATACTGATAAAATATACTGTTCAAGAAGTAAAATATTTTACTCAGCAGGAAAGCTGATCTTCAATTGGTTTTTTTCCAATCTCAAATTATTTTTTGACAGTTTATTATCTGCAGTTCAGTTCTACAGGAACTTGTGAGTAAACAGGTCTGAAGGTCTATGAAGGAGGTCAACTATGCTAATTAAATATTAAGTTTCATTAGTAGCTGTTGATATGTTCATTATATATGCATTATCACTAGAATGGAGTTGCAATTATAGTGTTTTATCCTATGTAAAAACATAATTAAGTTTTAGCTAGCTTCTTCCATATAAATATATGGCTTTATAGGTCAACATGCAGCATTTGCTTTAAATTTAGCCAATTTTGCTGAATAATAAAGTTCTTAAGTCTTGTCACTTTCACCCTATAGAAAGAAAAGAAGCTCCAGTGAAGTCTGTACTTCAAGTTAAAAATGAGATGTCAATATAGGATAAATATGTCCTATTATATTCCCAAAATTAACATCAAAGCTATAATTTAAACTAATTGCATTCACTTAAGTTTAAGAGTAACATTTATAACTTAGTGTTGGCCCAACACAGCATGTATATAAATACTGAAACCTGTGTTAGAACATGGTAGAATTTTTGTTTTTAAACTTGTTCATGGAAGCAAGGCACATAACTCAGTGTTGTGAAATTATAAACCTAATTCTCAAAACAGTTGAGAGAGTCCTTTTATACTGAAGCATGGTTTTTCTACTTAACAATTTTCAATTAGATTCTTCATTTTTCCTGTAGGTTTCAGAAGGTGTGGCCCAAACTGAAAAGAAAAAAAATGCAATGTTTGTATACAATAAGCTGGAATTTTTATTGACCAGTTCATGCCTACTACTAAAACACTTAGATCAATTGCTGGGGAGTTCTACAATTTTAAGTCCATGCCTCTTAAACTTGACAAGTTTGAAATATACTGCTTTAAATTCTATTAGTAGGAGCACTAAATCCACCAGAAGGGGCGTTGACACACCCTTTCTCTGAGCTGTGAAGAGCATCCATTGTTTGGGGATGATGCTTCTGTCGCTTGTTTGATAGGCTGGGCTTTAATTGAGAGGACGCTCCTCCTCCACGGGACTCCTCCCTAGCGTCCCCAGTTTTGGCGAAGTCGAAGTGATGAAATATTTCTTTTCCTTCACGCTTTCTAATACTTGGCCGGAATAGCATCCCACCAGACGAATAAGGGTGGGGATGGATGCTCTTCACAGCTCACAGAGAAAGGGTGTGTCAGGTAAGTACCAACGCCCCTTCTCCAGATGAGCTGTTCAGAGCATCCATTGTTTGGGACATACCAAAGCTTGGCGTGTCCTACAGGAGGGCTTCCGTCTGGTTCAGATTCCCCTTTTCTTGGTCCCTATGGACCCTTTGTAACACTTTCCTGTCAAAGGCAGCCTCCGTAGAGGCGAAGACATCATTCTAATAGTTTCTAAATAAAAGCCGATGGTGAGGCCCATGTTGTCGCCTTGTAAATTTTTGCTATTGGGTCTTGTGGCCGAATGAACAGTGATACCCCTGGGTACAGGAAGAGATTGTGTCTCATGAGACTTGGGAATTGTGCTCTCAGCCACTTACTGGTCATTGAGGAAGAGGTCTTGCACCCAATGGTGGGTGGTTGAAAAGAAACGAAGAGAACCTTTGTTTCCTAACACACATCGTGCAGTTGAAATATATGCAGAAAGCTCACCTTACATCTAGATTGTGGCATTGTCATGCCAGATTTTATGTCGGTTTCAGACAAATGTACGGGAGTATCAGTTCCTATGGTCTGTGGAAACCCAAAATTATCTATGGGTGAAAGATGGATCTGGACTAAGGACCACTTTGTCTGTGTGAAAAATACAGAGCTCCTGTCTAACTGACAAGACTACTAGATCCAAGATGTAACTGGCCGATGTAATGGCAACCAAGAGAACCACTTTGTACGTTAGGAATGGAGACTCATGGTCTACAGGGGCTCAAAGGGAGTTTTCTTGAGTGCGGTAAGGACCTTGTTGAGGTCCCATGTATGATATCAATGCACTACAGGAGGCTGTAAGATTGTAGCCCCATGCAAGAAAATGGCATATGCGTGGGTGATGAGAGATGGACTGCAAGTCTCTCCTAGTGATGACCGATGCTAAGGCCTCCCCTTTGCCTGTTTATATGAACAAGATAATAATGAAATGTCATATAAATAACACTGCCGTCTAACAGGTGTTCCCCTGAGATGAACAGCCAGAGCCATCAGAACCTTCGTAAGAACCTTGGGCAGATGACAACCCAAAGGACAGTGCAATGTATTCAAAACATTGAGTATTATAACAAAAACTATGAGTTTTGCTTTGTGAGGATCTAATTGGAATCTGGGGATGGGCCTCCATTAAGTCAATGGAGGGTAGAAAATCGCCCCTTCTGAAGCTCAGAAGTATGGAGTTCAGTATACTCATCTTAAGCCTCCTATGAACTATGTAATAATTAAGTCATTTTAAAACTAAAATTGCCCCTGCTGATCTGGTGCCACAGGTTGGTTGCCTGGATCTCCAATAAATGAACAATAGCTGTCTCCATCATGCTCCCTTTAACAGGATCCCCAGAGAGAAGGCAAGTAATGCAAAGGTTCAGGGGAGAGGATGGAAATTCTATAGCCAGGCCTAATCTTCTGATATCTCTAACCCAGGAAACAGAAGTGGAGACATCCCATCTGTCTGTGAAAGGCTTGAGCCTTCCACCAATAGGGGCACAGTCGTGAGGCCTATGTTGTGCCTTGGAGACCTCTATTTCATGTTCCTCAAGAGATTCTTTTGCTCTGCCCTCCCCTTCAGTATCTATCTCCAGATCAGAAACTATCTGACTGTTGGTGATTCATGCGTCCAGACGGTCCCTGGAGTCTAGAGAGAAAAAGTCCCTGGTAGAGGGAACAAAGGAACCCTTCAAAAAGCTGGGAAGGACTATTTTGGGGTCTATGAAAAGAGAGGAACTTATTTTCTGCTTCTAGTCTCTTATCAGAGATAGGTCGGGGCACCACCAAGCAAATTATCTCCCTATATTGGGGAGGAAGCAAGCTTCCATTAGTTGTGTGATATCTGCTTGCCAATGTCTGAGCCATAGCAGTAGGCGAGGAGTAACCTGAGATGCCCTGGCTTGAGCAGATAATTGAATAGAGTTTTGCGGCGTCCTTGTGTGCCCTGATATTGGAATTTGAGATAATCTCCCTCAGATGGCGGAGCAACCTGAGAGAGGATCTAGTAAAAAAAGGGGGGGATGAGGCCGACTCCGCTCTTATGGCCCCCACATCAGATCGACATGCCCTACCTGGGGACAACTCAACCCTGTATATCCTTTGACTTGAGAGCCTCTTCTGCTTCTGTTGGAATTGCAGAGGATGATAATTGCCATTATTGTTTTATCTACTATCGTGGCGATGAGAAATTTAGCAGAATGAGAAAACCAAATTAAAAATTTGCTATCATATCCTGTAAGGGGTTTACGCCACTGAAGAGACCCCTTGTTTCTGGACGAGGTCCAAGAACCTCTGTGGGACAGTTATGACTTCCTCTTACATTATTGGTTGGGAGAAGATTAAATCATCTGACACACACACCCCCCTTATAGTAACGATTGTTGGGCCGAGGGGAAATGGAATATCAAGGCAGGAAGTAGGGTTTTTTTTTTTTGAAACAACAGAGACTTGAAAAAAAAAAGTCTGAGGGCAAAACAGACCTGAAGGTCGGTGGTCTGGCTTAATGCCTTCAATGTTTGACATGCCCCCCTTTTTTAGGGGATCCGCCTCTGACAGATTTTGGTCACTGTTGTGAGTAGACCCTTCCTCAACCTGTTCCATCTGGTCTCTAGTTCTCCCTCATCCTGTGCATCATGTGAATGTGTAACTGGATTATATAATACTCCCCTGAAGGAGGTACCTGTTGGTAATGAAGGTCTATTCTGTATAGTAACTAAATCGAGTGAGAATCGAGGTCAGATTGTGGAGGTTGCCGAGCCATCAACTTCTACTGTGCCCCGGCTGCGATGCCTCTTCAAGTTGCCATGTCCCTCCAGGCCTTCAATTTGTCAGGGATATCCTCTGGGAGGAGGAATTCTGGTGTGGTCTCACAACTGTCTGTCAGGCAAGTAGCGCTGCTGAAGGACTGGGTTGAACCGGTCTCTCTGAGGCTCTCCTGGATGGCATTGAGAGATCCAGGGATGGAGGCAAGGTGAAATATGGAACACTTCACAAATTGCGTGTCATCCTTGCGCAGGGGCCATGCTAATCTTCTCTGTATCATTCCAATTTTAGTATATGTGCTGCTGAAGCAAGCACTCTGGAACTGGGACCAGCATGTCTGGGGAAGAGGACTGAGACTTCTGTTCAACCTCCCTCATGCATTTTTTTTAAAAAAAATTTAAGATATGCTCATCTAACGCATTTTGGTGTCTCTTGGCATCCTTTGTTGGCTTAGAGGTCTCTCTAGGACATTTTGACCTACTTTGAGTTGGTTTATCGTCCTCTGGGGGTATTTTTGGTTGCCCTTGAAGATTCTGACCTAAAGCCCACAAGGTGAGATATCTATATCTATGTATCTATATGTGTATGAAATATTAATGGACTGTTGACTGGTTCAGAGGACTGATATAAACAGAGGCAGGGAATCCTCTTGATATTTGCTCCCCCCCCCCCCCCCGTTTTTTGGTAAATTCAATTTGTTATTATGTTATTATTCATAATAATATTGATATCATTAATGTTGTTATTATTGATAATATTTTGGCTATATCTGTGCACAGCTACTAACATAAATTGTTGTGCTGTTACCAAACTCATAATTAGATGACTGAATATGGAATCAAATTGTGAAGCCAAATAGAGAACACCTTTCAGGACCTGTATTGCAACTGGGTGATCCTGCAGTCACTGGTGCTCAACAGCTTCCTGCCCAGACGGACACAGGCCTTGGTGCTCGCTGTTACTGTGCTGCTAGAATTCTGTGAGGGCTGCCAACTGAAAAAGGAAGCCCAATAGTCAACCTCAGAAAGAGGTCCGTAATCGGCATAAATGTCCCCTGGACCCTCACGGAGATCCTTGTGAGGGGAAGTGGCTTCTCAACAGATAATGCCATGGAATTCTTATAAACAAAATGATGCCGGCGTTGTTTTAGTCGTCAAGATGTAGCATCAACCATCACCTTTTAATATGAGCTGATGCGAATCTAACTAGAATTTGAGAATTTTAGCAGAACTCTGAGTCCTCTGGCTCCACCCGATCAATAGCCCTTCCTTCTTCTATATACCTTGCGGGAGTATATCTGAAACTACAGAATCTCCTGAGGGCAATGATGCTGTGTCCTGCTTAGTGACCGGAGTTATAGGGAATTCCAGTCAGAAGGAGCGCTCTGTTGTTCAGAGCAGTATGCTGCACCTCTGCAGAGATACATTCGTGTATTGCTAATTCCATCCACAGTCACATCTTTGTGGGGATCTTTTCCGGTAAGTCATCATCTTGACAGAATCTGGCCGCTGTTGGAGCAATGTGGCCACAGAGTCACTTCGAGTTGCTTGTACTGATCTAGATGGGCTACCTGATCTTGTGCAGCTGCGCTGCATCTGGATTACACAGACAGATTCAGGGGTGGTTGCAGAGGGGGATTGGAGCCGAAGTAGGCCTGGAGGAGATGAGGTTTGAGAATTTTCTTCATTCTCCCACATGACCTTCTTCATGTGTTTTTCTAGTACCTTATGGCGCTTGTTAGAGTCTTTTTCTGCTGCTTAGGAGGTACACTTAGAATGCTTCAATTTGTTTTGAGAATTTGGCATGGCTCGAGCTACTGCTGCTTGCCATTGTGACCGCTTATTAAATTTTACTGTTAATGAGGCTGAAATATTGGGCGTTTGGCACGCCCAGGGGCCTGAACCAGCAATGGCCAGGGAACCCTAAAACAATGCTCCCCAGTTTTGTATAATCTTATGTAAGAATACTGAAATCTTACTCTTGTTCCTATTATTATTATCGTTATTATTTTGTTATTAATATCGAATTAGCCAAATTAGGAACACCTCATAGGCCTAGAAAGGAGGAATTGTTGAAATAAGATGTAGGCCTGCCACAGCTTCCTGCACAGGTGGACACGGGCCTTGGTGCTCGCTGTGGTGCTGCTGTTTAATTCTGTGAGGGCATAAGCCAACAGTTTCCTCCTTAATGAATAAGGGTCCAAAATAGAATAATTCTATCTATCTATCTATCTATCTATCTATCTCCCTCCCTCCCTCCCTCCCTCCCTATCTACACACACACACACACACACACGTGTATTAGGGTGATTTCCCTCAGGTTCCAGGAAGGAGACTCCTGCTTGGGGAAAGAAAAGCCTCTCACAATTCCAGAAATAAAATGCATATCACTACTGCATGGTTAGTGAGTCTACAATGGCGCCAGCCGTTATCTCTTTAGGCACGTAATGAGTTAAATCGGCTCAGCAACACTTCCCAGGGGAGAGAAAAAAGCCTTGGACCCTTTTAAAATGGAGCCTCTCCTGTCGGGCGCGGGCAGCGATGATCGTAGCGGCTTGGCTTGAAAAGATCGTAATGTGAGTTGTTAGCCATGCAGCTGAGGTGTTATCACCTCCTATCATCCTGGGGGCAAGAGATCATTATCTGAAGCTATGGTGAGCTCCCTTGGCTCGAGTTATCTATCGTAGGGAGCTGCTTGACTCATTGAAACTAAAAGCCTTAAAGGAGTTGTTTAGAGTTTAAAAGCAAACCTTTTTGTTGACTCCTTTTGAAGCCTTTGCTATTCCAGTCAAGGGAAAGGAAATTAAGCTGCCTATATTCACGAAGGCTGAGCAAAAACTGGGGACGCTAGGGAGGAGTCCCGTGGAGGAAGAGAAGCGTCCTCTCAATTAAAGCCCAGCCTATCAAACGAGCGACAGAAGCATCACCCCCAAACAATGGATGCTCTGAACAGCTCATCTGGAGAATGAAAGGAAGCAAACGTTCCCTGGCATCTTGCTCACTGGGACTGGTAATAAGGCATGCTAAAAATATGGGTGGACGTTAGTTTGCCAATCTCCTGAGACGAGACACTCTGGAGATATTCAGTCCTGAACTTATGTAAATTTAAATGTAGCTTGGCTTAGCCTAAAGTATGAACTTAGTCTTGGCTGCTTTGTAAACCAGCCGACTCCTGAAGTTAATACAACCATTCTATACCATGGGGCTCAGCACAACATATAAACCAAACACTTACCAAATTTGTTTCAGAAGTTGAAATCTGTTTATCACTTTCACTTGAACTGTCACTACGATAGCGATATGCAAATTTCTTTTTAAGAGCTTCAGCTATTACAGCAGCAGGATCTGTTGGATCAGCAGTTTTCCTTATTGTGCTTTCCTCTGGCCTTCAAAAGAATAAGTTAAGGCTTTATGACACACTGACTTCAAATGATGCAAAGATATGCACCATTTTCATCAAAGCTTTGTCTACCTTTTTTTTTTGCTTTCACACTTCAATGTCTTTCTTAAAGACTCTAGTGATTTGATTAACAACCCCTCCCTCAGGAATATCAACACTGTAAATCCATCACAGTCATGGGATATCTCATTTGACAACCGTCACTTAGCAAAGTGGTTATGGGCCCCAATTCTGGACATTAAGTCTATTTGTACTCAATAAAATGACAAGTTACTGTTTGAAAACCAAACTATGAACTTTAATCATATGAATCAAGCAAACAAATTATGTCATCTCCATCTCTGCTTAGCAATAATCAAAATATTGCACTTCTTCCCTGCAACCCTTTCTGTAATAAGGGGAAAACTTACCTTCTCACTGAGCGCAGCTTTATGCTGTTCATGTCTTTCAGGATATCTAGCATATTTGGCATTTCAAGCTTCTTTGGATCACCATCTATCAGAGTCTTGCCAGAATTTATTCTTTTTCCTTTGCGCTCTTTAATAAGGTCAATGGCAGAAACACTGTGCTGAAGTGGTGGTGGTGGAGGCAGGGGTGGCGGTGGTGGTGGCGGCGGTGGCGCCACGACAGAAAGGGGTGCAGAACATATTCCAGCTGTAAGAACAACGTACATTTAAATATGCTGCAAATATCTTTAATAAATCTTTGTTTAAAAATGTACCCATTATTGTGATTATCAAATAGAATCAGCATTGAAATGGATTGCTATCATGTACCACTTCTACCACCCTTTCCATTTTTTAACACAATATATAATGAAAAGGGTGATGCTTCTTTTAAGGAAATATATAGCTTGGCTGTAAATGGTTATACTGACCAAGTACCGAAGCAGCTTTCTAGTGTATGACATTTGTTTATTACTTTTCTATTGTGCTGAACAAAATCTGTTTACAGATAAACATAGTTTATTGTGTTTTCCATCCCTGTTGGTTTCCTAGAGATATAGGGGTTAAGATTATTAATCGTATGAATTTGTTAACTAAATACCCTGTTTCTCCAACAATACGGCCTCCCCCAATAGGAAGTCCCAGCATGTTTTATAGGCATGAAATGAAATTAAGGCCCTCCCCCCAAATTAAGGCCTATATTAAAACATGCGAAATGGGGGGGAATGGTGGGGGGGCTTGCCGTTAGGAAGTACTTTTGTTGCACACCCGGATATGGTGCTGCCTGCGTTGACCCCGAAACGAAGTGCCCCACCAACGCTGAGGTCAACATCCAAGCCGTCACCACCCGCCTGAAGATGCAAGGGGGGGAATTAAGTCACCCCCGAAAAGATGGCCTAGCCATTATTTCGGGGCTCAAAAAAAAATAAGACCCAGCCTTATTATATGAGAAACACGGTAGCAAGTTGAATGTAAGACTGTAATGTAATAAAAATTTAGTCATGTTTGCTCCTAGGAAATTAATATCTCATGTAAGCTCAAATACCTAAAGGTGAAAAAATATGCCAAAGTACTGATTACAATTCTTGGTATGGAGCAAATTCTAGATGACTGTCAGGTTTTCATATCTTAAAGACAATTCTCATATGTCTTTTCTCATATTTTCCAAGCTGAATTGTGAAGCAGAAGAATTGTTTCCCAATTTGCCCTCACTGTCGATGCCAATAAAGCTTTGTAGCAAGAAGGATTCAGTTTTCAAAGGTAATTTGGAGCACACAGGGGCAAAAACATAGCACTTGTCTTAAACTCATT